AAAAAGGCACGAATAAAATGCGATGAGTATTCTTGTAAAATATCTTCATGAAAAATAGAAAAATGTTGTCTCATTAAACGTGTCTATAATAGTGATTCAAATCATTCGATCTCAAAGTGAAAGGTAGATTTAGTGAGCTTTAGAGATTGCTGCTATTCATATAATCACGTATAGCATGCACTCCATCGTTTTTTCTCGAGTACAAGTCTTGCGGGTCTTTGAGACTCCATTTGTTTATATAACGATATAAGTAGAAAGACCTTCATAGAACCATAGATTCGCACCCCCAAAAAAAGATGGGATACCGACTTTGTATAAAGATATAAATAAAAGGACCTTTAAGTTGCTCTAAATCGTGTCTTAAATAAAACTGCAAAAGATTGAAAAATCTAGAATCTTAGTAATAGGGTGAGTGTGGGGTGTAGACGTAAGTTTGGGATGTGGGTTCGTTATCATACCTGCACCCAGACCCAAATTCACCCACACCCACACCCACACCGTTTTTGCAGTACAGATAACTCTTGGATAAAATTCGAAGTTTCCGCATTTATTATATACTATTCTTTGGAATGGTATTTACTGATCTTTTATTGTGCGTGTGTATTATTTAATTAATCTAAATAAATATTATTATATTAATAGCGTTATACAAGAGAGTGTAATACAACTCAAATATTTCGTTACACTATTATTATTATTAATCATTCTATTTCTATTTAGATAATCTCTTTTAATATGTTGACCAAGTCACTTTCAGCTATTCTTATGGGTTTTACAATTGGTGTTACTTTTAGTCTATGGTTACAGCGGAATTCGCAGATTAATACAACAGAAATGATTACTAGTACTCCAATTATACTCCCATCATCTTCAAAACATGAACAGTTAAAGTCTAATTTATCAACAAATTTCAACATTAATTATGATAATATAGCTCAATTCTATGAAGGATACTACAAATTCTATGAATTGAACAGAGAATGGTGAGTCTTATGGTGTATTTTCATGGCTTGAGAGATCAACAGATATAAGCCTAAATGTTTTTGATTGATAAATTTATAGTTGTTGTTAAACGTCAAAGACTCATTAGAAGCTAAATATAGTTTGAACTATTTGTTACTTCATACTTCTATCATATGTATATTAAAAAAGATCTCGTGCAACTGTGAAAATCCGCAAGTATTAAAAACCGATTATTCCAACTTATTTTGTTTTCGCTAATATTCTTGTCAGTTAAGTTAAAATATTTTCATTTTCAAAAAAATATAAATATATTATATAACTAGTACGAGTATTTTTAGAATACCTGAAATTCAGTAGATAGATAGATATTAAAATCTATAAAATATACATGTAATATTTGAAATCAACTTTCGAGTTTGATATTATACTAAATAAAAGTTTATTTTAATCTATTTTTACTTTAATTATTGAATTATATTTCTTTGTTCAGGCAGAAAAAATCGTTTCTTGGAGTTCACTTTCTGCAAAATTCCAATGATGCAATTACAATTGCCGAGATTCTGCATGATCAAGATATTGATCTAGTTATTGAAACAGGTACTTATCGTGGTGGTGCTGCTCTATTCTTTGCTTCAATCATGTACCAATATCGATATAATGCAAGTTCAAAAACAATTCGTCCATTTAAAATTGTAACTATGGATATAAACGCAGAAGCAAAGACATATATTAATCGATATCCACTTCTTGCTTCTTATATCACTTTTATTCCTCATGGAAGCATGACAGAGATAGCAAAATCAATCGTTAATCGTACATTTATCGAAATGAAACCTAAAAATGTATTTATTTCGCTTGATGGTGACCACTATTCTAAAAGTGTCTATGATGAATTAGTCTATTTTCAAAATTATTTGTCAAAAATCGGTAATTATATCCTGGTACAAGATACTCGATTATCAAGTAAATGGCATACTATGTATTGTGCTGAAGCAAAATTGGGTGGACCTTGCAATGGACCACAAGAAGGTGTCAATTGGTTTTTAAAAAATGAAGGTCAAGGACGTTTTGTTAGTGATCCTGGAAAAGAGTATTTATTTAGTACTCATCACAATGGATGGCTTAAGAAAATTGCTTTATAGATAACTATATCTAGGTTTTTGTCTTGTTTTCTTTTTCAAATTAATTTAATTATTTTTTGTGTTTGCGAAAATAATATTTTTCGGTTTTAATATTGTATTCATTGATTTATGCGTACACTGACATACTAGTGAGAGAACATTTGTAACAGTTTTGAGTAAAATCTTACTGTATCTTGTGTAACTTGATAAATAACATTTAAATACTATATATGAAACTTTTCTAACATATATGAAGAGAACATAAATATTCCAATGAGTTAATGTGAGTGAGAATAACAGCATTATATTTATCACTCAACTGTACCCTCTAACGTCCACATGTACACCCAAAACAAAGTTCCACTTGTTATCAACTTATTTTTATTGAAAAAAACAGATCATTTTTTCGTATGTATTATTAAACAACAATTGCAAATGAACGAAGGAATGATTTTTGAAAAGTATATTCTATATTTACTCGCTGAATAGCGTCAACAAAACATATTTCAAATAAAAATAAAACGAATGCGTGTGTCGACATTGTCGACAATGGTGACGTCAAAAGCAAAAGTAAATAAAAAGTTTTTTCTTACAAGTATTTCTTTTCTCTTGTATTGAATATGGCATGTTGTAGTACTGTCTGAGATATACATAATCATCTTTAGTATTTTATGTTCGTTTACGTCAGTATAAAGTAATATATGCGTCAGCAACCAAACATTATAGTATGATATGAAAGAAAAAGAGAAAAATCATTTTCTATATTGAATCAAATATAAACATGGCAATAACTAGATCACTGAAAAATGAAGTTTATACATCGCGTTACAAATGTTAGTATATTTGTAATATTTTATCATTGGAAATCGCGAGAAATCATCAGAAAATATTAGAAATCAGTTTAATTTATAACAAAAAATTGTGTATATTAAAAACAAAATTGATTTTGCCAAAGTAGTATGCATATACTATCCGTAATATACAGATCAAAAAATATATATTCCTATTCTTATATTCTCATCTATTTTCATTTTCTATTCAAGTATTAGTTAAGTATTTTATTTCAATTTTAATCAATTTACTTCTTGCTATTCGCCATCTGTCAGTGAGACTTTTTTACGATATAGAATGTTATTTGCATCAGACCATTTTCATACTGTACTTCTGAAGATTCTTCTAGGACTGATCATCGTAGTTCAACATCTATACAGTCATTAAGTGTCTTTGTCTTATTCGATATTGAATAGATAAAATATCAATCGACCTACTTCGTCAGATACAAGTAAACAATATCTGAAGAATATCTGTTTGTGTTGATATCTCGGATGATTGAACATATTTCTACTGATTATAACAGCAAAGAATAGCATTATTATTGAAAATTAAATCGTTTTGGTCTCATAAAATAAGATCTTAGAACGGCAAGAAATAGGACATCAATCTCATTTCAAGTACAAACTCGGAATTTTCACTGAACGTTTATTTTCTTTCTTACGATTAAACACAATGTCTCGGACTAAAACTTAGTGCAAAAAACTGCAGACTAAGAATGGTACAGATGTGAATAGATGAATCGAATATTTTCATCCACATTCACATTATAAAACATCATTCTTTAAAATTTTCGGTTGCCCAAATTATATTTATTTTTCAAAAAAATATTTTATATTCATCATGGATCTCATTTTTAAGGTGAGACGTGAATAGGGAAAATAAGTTTTTAATTAGATTATCTCACTGTACATATCTGCTTTTTCTATTAAAATCTATATTATTTATGTTGTATCCTATTTAATTACTTTATTTTACTTAAAATAAATATTACAAAAAATAAATTAACAGCCATAAAATAAAATGAAAAATTATATTTGTAACGGTTTTGAAGAATTTTCTAAATTATGTTTAATACCATATTTTTCTCTTAATTGTCTCAATAATGAACGATTAAAAGAACAACCATCATTGTGACCATTATCAATATAACCTCCTTCTTTCCATTGATTATATTCATGTACAAAATCTTCTACCCAAAATTCTAAACATATAAATCTTTTGTGGGGTGATCTTGTCGTTACTGAAGCACAAAATTCTTTATCTTTTTCACACATTTCAACAAATAATTGTCCATCAGCTGCTAAATTTTCTCGAGGTTGTACTGGTAATGAAAATCCTTGTAAAATAAGTTGACCTGCTTGTCGTACTAATTTGATAACTTCATCTTTTTTTATACCTTTAGTTCGTTCATTGATTGGATAATAAAGACCTTTAATATACGGTGTACCACTTGTCATATGTTGTTCAAGATATGAAGCATATCCTTTTGGTGTATTTTCTAATCCCCATGGCCTTAAACCTCCAAGATTAATTGAAACCGATCCATCGGATAAAAATGTTTGATACATTTGACCCGTACCTGGTCCAGTTATATGAATATCCATTTTACGTAAAATTTTCAATTGAGCAATAAAATCATTCTCAATTAATTCATATGTTGGTGATCGAGAATCACTTGATGTTGCATTGATTTGAATTGAACTCATATTTTGTGCCTTAACTTGATTATAATAAAGATATGAAATCTGAATTAATGGCCATTCTGATTTACTTGTATTACTTTTACTTGTATTTATATAAAAATTAGTATAATTATTTATTTCATTAATTGCATCCTTGATTTCTTTTCGATCGTTTTCTGTAAAACGTCTATTATCAATGACATATGCATGAAGAAGATCATGAGATGTTCGATATTCCGATGAAGATTTTTGTCGAACAACTGAATGAATAAAACCATGTTGTTGATACATTCGATCACGAAAAAGTCTCGAAGCATTTAACTCAACACCACCAGGTAATTGTAAATTAGATTGTGTACAACGTTGACAAAAAGTTCCACTACCCATAATAATTTCATCAAATATAAACCATCGTCCTTGTGAAAGTTTATTTAGAACACGTTGTTTAATTATTCCAAGACCACCAAAACGACTATAAACATCTTCACTCCAACACCCATCACAATCATCTACACCGGCAAGAATATGAAATGGATAAAGATGTCTAGGAGAAAATCGAATTAGTGCAACATAGGCTGCATAGAGTCCATCAAAAAGTGCATGACCAATATTGTGATGCCATGGTTGACCAAAATATAGAGTGACATATGGTATTCTTCTTGGTTTAGTTATATTACGAACAAATATTTCAAGATGAATATATGAATCAAATTCACGTTTATTTGGTGTTATAGGCCATAGATTAAAAGCATCTGTTCGTAGATAATATTCGGGTAAATAACTTCCTTTTACTAATAAAATTGTAAACCAACTATCAACATAATATAGATTTTTAAACAAACATGATTGATTATATAATGGACCTATACATTGCATTTTTGTTTCTAATGTTTCATCAGAAGAACTTAGTGTTGAATTAATAGAATATAAACTATATTTATCAGTTTTATTTGTTAATGGTTTTGTAGATATTGTAAAATTTGGACTATTGATAATATTTGGTGTAAATGAAGTTTGTATATTAATATTTTTTATTTTTACCATGAAACAAACTATCATAATGATAGATACGATTGTAATACAAATAAAATTTTGACGAGTAATTAGGGAATAGTTGAATAATTTCGTTTGTATTTGATTTAACATAGTTGACGATAATCAAAGATAGATTAATAGTCACAGAGACTTTACACTAAAATACAGCCCGTTAAATTTTGCATCGAATGGTATATAGAACATTTTTTATCTCTTAGGTTTTTTACATTAGAGAACATGTTGTTCTGTAATAAAAAGTTAAATGCCTGTGTGTTAAAAAGTGTTCAAATCTGAATTTTGTAGGCCGCTCTAATGTCAATCAAAATCACTATTTAAATATTTCTAATAAGCTTTCCTGGACAATAAATTTAAAAAATAAAATAATGTGCTAAACTTTTCCCCATCCCTTTACACAACTCAGGACATAGTTGTATATCTATAGTGTGACGATGCTAAAAGATTAATGTAGACAATAATTAATCCAATGCGAAGCAACGCATTTATGTAGTCTTTGCAAAGTATTCTTTCTTTTGAGGGTGTGAATGCGTGTTGGTGTACATGAGTTTGGGTTTGGGTGTAGGTATGATAGCAAACCCACATCACAAACTTACGTCTACACCCCACACTCACCCTATTGCTAATATTCTAGATTTTTCGATCTTTACAAGTTTTATTTAAGATACGATTTTGAGGAACTTAAAGGTCCTTCTATTTGTGTCTTTATATACAGTCTATATCCCACCTTTTTTTCTAGGAGTGCGAATCTATGATTCTATGAAGATCTTTCTACTTATATCGTCATCTAAATAAATGCGGTCTCAAAGACCGGCAAGACTTGTACTCGAGAAAAAACGATGGAGTGCATGCTAAATGTGATGATATGAATAGCAGCAATCTCTAAAGCTCACTAAATCCACCTTTCACTTTGAGATCGAATGCTTTTTAGTTTTAGATTTCAAACTGAAATTGAAACGACCATTGTATGCTACTCCTTTATGAAAAAACGTATAACGATCTAAATGGCTTTCTAAGAGAAATTATATGATGATTTTAGTATTCTACACTTATAAAAATTTAGAGATCAAAATCGAATTAGACAGGATTTTGATGGAACGGTGATAAATGGTCACTGTTACATTCCCATTCGGTTCAATACAGTGTACGTCACAGGGTATTGTTTTGCATAGTATCCTCATGAAGTTTTATTCTTGTCTTTAAACCGAGTTAAGTTGATTAGAAAAATGACGGATTATATACGGTTTTGTTTATTTGAGATCGAATGATTTGAATCACTATTGCAGACATGTTTAATAAGACAATATTTTTCTATTTTTCATCAAGATAATTTGCAAGAATACTCATCGCATTTTATTCGTGCTTTTTTCTCATATTTGTATCTTTAATATTAAGGGAAGATTGAGAATCAATCATACATCGCATACAAGCAAAAAAATAAAATAACGAATACTAATACATCAGCTTAATAATAATAAATCCCCACTCAACTCTCAGTAGATTTTCAAAACAAAAATCATATGATAATGTTACGATTAAAATCATCTTGAATAAAAAACAAAAGTTTATCGTTAGTCTAGAATCATTTCGGGTTTTGAGTATCTTACCGGTGTAGTAATGGTTTTTTTTATTTCGTTTTAGCTTACACATCGATAGATATATTTCACATTATATAATGTATTTACCTTCGCAAAATCGTATAGATTACTGATATAATGCACATGTAGTGTGTAAGCAACGATAAAAATTATACGAAAAATCATATAAAACTAATGAAGCATACATGAAAGCGAACAGAATAGAACAAAACAAAATATAAACACGTATTTTTAATCACCGTGTGCGCTGCACATTCTATTATCCATTTAAGAAAAAAGAAAATAAAGTGATGATCAGTTGGATAACTTGAGAATTTTCATATAAAAGTAGTTAAACGTAGTTATTTATATTTTAACTACTTGAGTTTTAAAAATACTACTTTTCTGTAATAATGCATGTGAAATGTATTAGCTTGAGATTTTTAACTAATTTTCATGTGAAAGTAAATTTTAATATAGTTGTTGTAACATAATTGAAGTATATAGATATTGAAGAAATGGTGAAGTGGTGATATAAATCTTTATGTTCCACTAAAACTACAATTTGATACATCGTACAATAAATCAAAGACACATAATATTAATACTAATTTCCAGCTGTCTCTTTTTTGTATGCAACGACTGTCATTCGCCACATAAAGAGAAAAACAGTCTGCATAAACAAGATCTCAACGGAAGAAACGTGTTGGATAAGATAATATATGCAAACAATAAAGAAACGAAACATATGGATTAGAGGCCAAATATTAATGGCACAGTTATGCTTTGATTTTAATGTAACAAAGTAAATTTTCTATCCTTATAATCGTTTTCAAACTGAAATAGTTAAAATTGAAATAAGAGCGAGATGGAGTACTAAAAAAATCGCCTTAGAAAAAACAGAATATATGATGTATTTTTGATTCCAACGGATGAATTTGATGCACAAGAGCTTTTTTGACAATTCTAAGAAAATCATAGATTTCTACTATGTGAGTGAGAATGAGATAGATTTAATACACCCCCACCCTGAAAAGTAGTTATAGGCAATATTCGAAGCACTTTCAATTGAGCATCGAGCGAGCCTTTTGTAGCGAGCGTTACTTGTATTTAGCACAATGATTGTATTTCAGATTTAGAAGTACTAGGAGTATATAAAATATGTCTTCGTAACTATTTAAGACTCTAAAGTGTGTGTGTGTGTGTGGGTTAGTGTAGATGTGGATGTGCATAGGTGTGGATATTGTATTATCATACGTCAACACCCACACCCACACCCTCAAGTCCAATAATTAAAACTACGGGTGCAAAAATATACATTTTTGATCAACAAGTTATGTTATTATCTTGTCTACAACAGTGAAAATTACATTCCAAATCTATTTTGTTGTTTCCTAGATTCTACAACACTGAAATGTCAAGGAAAACTGTCCGACATAACTTATAGTGGTAATTCCAAACGAGTGAATTTGGTTGATACAATGAATGATTGTATTAATATGTGTGAAAATAATAAAATATGTATGGCATGGTCATATATGATATCGGATAAGGTGTGTTATATTTATACTAATATAACATCTCATTCATCGAATACATAATATATTAGTAGACAATGTTGTAGTAAGTATATTTGATGATTTGTTTCATATAAAGTTTAATTGAATGAATAGAAATACTGAATCTCTTGTATATTTTATCACTGATAATTATTTTGATCATATTCGTTCATTGTTTAGTGGCAACAAAAAATAAACTAATAGAATCAATTTTTAAATTAACATAAGCATTACTTTGCGTTAAAACTTTAAAATAGAGGTTAGCGAGAGAAATATTTTTCGGTAGTATCTAAGTAACCGACTATCTCGTCCTGCCTTGTCTTATCTGCTATTAAAATTCTTAATACTATTTTATTAAAGTATACTTCTTTGTGAAAAAGGCTTCGTCATGCATTTTTTCGTTATTCAGTTGAAATTGGAACATTGTTTATCTTATTTGAGGAATATAGATACTTAAAAACTAGCAGTTCATGTACGATCGTATTCGTTATTTTATGCTGTGATAAAAAAGTATAAAGAGCGAGGGGCAAGAGGATATTCTTTTCTATCTTGATGAAATTAAATAGAAATATCGATCAAATTCTGTGAAGAAACGAATGTAACCTCACATAATGAAATATCTGAAAAAAAGAATGTAGAGAGCATTGAAATTGAAAACAGAATTCGTCTTATCTTATATTTTCTTTCTCAAAGATATTATCGAAGTACTAATGAATTTCAGTGGCAGGAAAATTCCACAATTTGAATATTTACAACGATATTTTTCATACTTAATATACAATTTATTTTCTCTATATCTCATCGAATCAACAATAATTACAAATTGACAGATAATATAAAAAAAGTGAATAACGAGAAAATCTAATGTAAAGTAATCAGATTTGAATAAATATTTTCTAAATGAAAAATGCATTAAGTTAAAATGAAAATATATAGAATATCATTTATGATAATTATCGTCATATTTATTTATATAAATATTTCATAAGTTAACATTTTTCTTTCTATTTTATCTTTCTTTATCATATTTTAAAATATGTAATTTTTTCAATCATTTTCTCATTCTCAAGAATATATAAATGAATATTAAAATTGATCAATTCTATTTTGATATTATTTTTCGAAAGATAACATCTTATTAGAGAACTTTGAAAGTGTATTGAATAGATTAATAAAATTCGAAAGACACACCTCTGAAATAAATCATAATATGTTTCTAATCATTTTTTGATTTATATTTCGAAAGGATCTGATTTGAAAGCACAGAAATGTATATCGAAACGTGAAAAATCTACTGGTGATGCCCGTGTACTATTAGGAATTTGTATATTTCTATTAATTTAAAGGTTCAGTTTCAGTCGATCAATGGTATAATGAAAAAAATAAATATAATTGACAATATCCTGAGTTTTCTAAAATCAAAAAATTTTGCTAAAGTTATTTGGAATGATGTAGAACAATTAAGAATTGGTAGAGCATGTTTCAATGATAACACAACAATGCTTGTAGTTGCAACTTATTATTCCGTTGCGTATCTTGGAGAATCATACAAACAAAATATCAAAAGAGAATGTTAACAAATTAATATTCAAATATATTTAATAAAAATCAATTACAAACTTTAAAACTATGTTTTTTTATATAAAAACACATATTTATATTATTTCTTAGCTAAATTTTTTTAAATTATTAATCTTTACTGAGATAGAAAAATAACTTTTGTCCTATAGATTTTTTCCTACACTATCAAAATAGTTCCATTAATTTAAAAATCTTCTATACACTAGTGTTTTCAACTAGCATAATCATTTAGATTTTATTACAATTCACGATTTTTTAACTCATCATTTTCAATTTA